GGGGGGGGGGGGACAAAGTAGGAGATATTTCCATTTTCTGAGCCCCCAGACCCACCTCTGTTTCCACCCCAGGAACTTCTAGAAAGCAGAAGCCAGCTCCATTTCTAGTCATTTCCAACCCAGGGCTCTCAGAAACTGAGACAACTTGCTTTCTATCCAAGGTACTGAGAAATCCCCATTTTCAACCCAGGAACCTCCAGAGATCACGAGGTGCCCCCATTTTTACACAAAGATGCAGGATTATTCCCATTTCCACCACAGGACCTCCATTTCCATCTCAGGCAGACCTCATTTCCACCCAAAGGAAGCCCAAGAATCCTCCCTTTTACTCCAGAATTCCCCAAAACCACTAGTGGCTCTCCCCAAAGCTCAAAGCAACCAAATGCCAGGCCAGTGGTTTCAACACTGCCGACTATATCTCTTCACTTAGCACTGCTCTTTGCTGCATTCAGCTTCTCTCAGCAGGCCAGCACGACACAAGGGCCACTGCAATTTCTGTTTACAGATGTTGCACACACGGGTAACCCGGTGTACGCACAGGCCTGCCTCTCTGCAGACATCAAGCATCCCTTAAGTACATTAAATTCTCCCTCCAAGGACTCCATCATGTTCCCTTCGTGTCAGCAGCCCATCCAGAGGCCTGGAGAAGCTTGCACACAGCTGCATGCAGACTCAGGAAGTCAGCACAGCATTTTTTTTTTCTCTTGTTTTGACACTCGGTTCAGACTTGGGAAGTTTTCTTTAGAACCACAAGGGCAAGCAATTTAAAAAATATAAATAAAGCAAAAAGCGTAGATTCAGCAAAAACTGAATCTGTCCAGAAGGGGGTGGAGAGAGAGTGAAGGGGCTGGATAGATCCCTCCAATGTGCCAGACCTGGTCTGTGTCTTTCAATAAATGAAGAAATCAGCTTCAAGCCCAGCTTTGGGAGTTGGGTGCAGTTTATTTGACTGAGTGTTTCTCAGCCACCTCTCACTACCCAGGGGCTGAGCTGGAGCCCGCAGGGGAAGGCAGAGCTCCATGCCCAGATAACTTTGCTGAAGTCAGTGTGGTTTAACTGTCAGGTAACTAAAGGCAGGATAGCAGTCTGAGTTCCCCTGGCGGGCTGTGCTTTCTGTCCCCTCCACCAGCTTGATGTGAAAGTGGCCAGGGGACACTGGGGGGGAAGCACCCCACCCCCAGTCTAAGGCACTTCAGCAGAAAGATGATTCAGTGTGTCAAGGCCCGGGGAACAGGAAATACCTCTCTTGGGGAACAGGAAGTGCGGTTGCTGTCAACGCAGCCGTTGCTCCGGTTTGTGCTGATCTAAAGTGGAGATGGAGCAAGAGCAGCAGCCGCACGGTGGGAGCAGATGACAGCTGCCAGCCTGGCCATGATTAGCCTCACCAGCCCAGAGCACGGGCGAGGGCAGGCGTGGGCTTGGTTGGTCCCTGCGGTGCTGGCGAGGCTGCTGTTAGGTTTAAAGCAAGCATCATGCCCCCCACCCACCTCCCCCACTCCACTTCTGCTCCCCCACTTCCTCCCTCCACCAAGGCCTGTGGATTAGAGAACCACCTGATGGAGACTCTAGAACTGCAGCAAGTCACCATAAAAACCTCACTTTCTTCCCACATGCCTTGTGGAATTTAGAGATTACTATTAGCCCTTTCGGCCGAACAACTGTGATTTGCCTCCTTTAACTCTCTGGATGCCACGGGCATCTTTCATGCACACGTTTATCAGTCTGGGTCAGCGCACTCCCTCTCTGACTTAAGCTGGAGCCGGTGGAGCTCCATCACAGCTCTTGCCATTACTAAGGTGCAGCTAAACTGACCGATCACCCCAAACTTTCTGGAAGAACCTCAAATTTAGGGTTTGTGTCCCCAAGACATCCCAGAGATAGGACTTTTGCTCCCCACAAATTGGCCCCAGAGGAGTCAGGCAAGGTCCCGCTGAGAAGATGCTGCCTGGCACAGTGCTCATGCAGGCAGGCAGCTTCCCAGGCCCCAAGAGAGGCAGAATCAGAGAGCAGGGAGGACCTCAAGGGGCACCTAGCTGCCACCCCACAGAGAAGGGACACATTTTCCAGGTGGCCATATTTGACACGCGTGCTTCCCAAGAGAGCTACAAATTTGCCTTAAAGGCAAATGACAGCTCAAGCTGTGGCCTCCTTGCAAAGCTGCACTCGTTAGCTCTGCTGAGAGGTGGAGCTATCTGGCCCAGCCTCGGTGTCGAGTGCTGTCCAACTTCCAGCTCAGCACTGCATGAATGTGGCACTGCACCTGCAGCACCACGCTACAGCGGCTACATGACTTCTGCTTCAGGAAGTCCATGGTGCCTCTGGGACTGTCTTGGATTTTGCTCCCCAAAGGCTTGGTGCAGCCCCTGGGGACCCTCTATCCTAGCGTGCAGGGAGTCAGCTGGTTCAGAGGGTGCAAGAGCGTTTTTTTTGTGAAGTAGCAGCCCCCACTGGGTATGCACTATGGACATGAAGCAGCTGGTGCCCGGGCGTTGGGAGCTCATTGGGCTCCTGCAGCTTTCAGTGCATTTGCAAGGGGCCTGCTCCTCCACAATCTCTCTGCAAAGTGTGGACACCCCAGGGATGTCCTTGTGAGGCATGTGTGCGCAGTCAGCCAGCCCCTGGCCTTGGCTTGGTATGTCTCAGCTGCAAGAGCTCAGAGGACCTGAGCCAGGCATGGTCATAGGCTTCAGGCCTCTTTGTTGTCAACTGACACCTTTGGCCACTCACACATTTCAGGGACACAGCATGGTTGAGATCGGGGTGCAGCTGAGGCAGGTGCAATGCGAGCTTCCAGCACCAGCCCCCACCCAGCCTCACATCTTGGCAACAGCTGTGCCCACACCGCACAATCAAGCTGGAGTCAAGAACAAGCGTGAGCCATGGCTGTCCTTGGCCCTTTGCCAGCAGAGCATGATTGAACATGCTTTGCCAAGGGAGCTGAGCCCCTGTGGGTGGGAAAAAAACACACTGGATAGCTTATGAAACCCAGCCTCTCGCACTTCCCCAGCTGTCAGGACACCTTCAAGAACCATCACCTGGCTCAGGGCGTTTGGCTTTCCCTTGTAGAAGCTGAGCTGTCTCCCCTGGGGAGTGGCTGCTCTCCTGCCTCTGCCTCAGCTACTCCCCTTCCTGTCTGAAACCACAGCGCTGCCCCACTTCTACTGCCTGCGATAGCATGGCTTACGGCTAGCCAGCTTTCAGATCCTAAGCAGAGGGCAACTGTGTAGAGAACGCCACACACCACTGTCCTCTACAGCTTCACACCATCTCCTTCCAGCTGTCACCATCTGCCTTACAACTTCTTATCATTGCTGTCCTGATGGTCTAGCCACAGGCCAAGAAGTCCAGGTGACCCAACCCTGCTCTCTTTCTAGACCCTAGAAGGAAATTGCATCCCCATGGTTCATTCAGCCCTTGGCCTCTCTGCTAGGGCTGTGCAAAATATCACTTACAGCAGGGAGGAAGGGGGTTGAGAGGTAGGCCTATGCCTCTCCTGATGTGGCTCTGAGACCCAACACACTCATTTCATGTAGGCCAGCAAATAGCTGGCAGATGATAGCAAGATTGCTGACCTAGGCCTGAATTAACCTCGTGGCTCCCTCCTGTAACCGCCCATGTCATCATCCCTTGCTGTATGCTGTGAGTCGGAAAGAGATGCTGCTTACTACCTGGCGGTCCAATAGCAGACCTGGCATAATCAGGGTCCCTATCCACGATAGCAAAGCTGGGACCCTTCTTGGGGGTGAAATGGAGAAGACAAGGAACTCCTACCTCATCCGGGACCATGACCAGAGGGTATTTGTCTTCAGAGAGGAAATTAAAGAGACACCAAAGCTTGAAGGCATCTTGATGGGACACAACGCTGTTCCCATTTCGGTCTGGCTTGTAATTCTTCTTCGCCGTCAAAGTCCAGCAGAGTTCATCGAAATTCTCCTTGACAAAAGCACCTTCCTCCACCTGCAAACAAGCCCCGTGAACCAGTGATGGCAGTGCCGCCACACTACAGAGTCCCAAGGATGATACCACAGTGCTCGTCAGCTGGAGGGGAGGGCACTTAGGTCTCCTATCATCCCTGCTTCACATGGGGGGAAATGGAAGCACAGGGAGGGGAAAGCACTGGTCCACAATCATGCAATGTGTCACTGGCACAACTGGGAAGAGAACCCAGCAGGAGTCCTGGCTCCTTGTCCACTACATTCATCACCAAAACACATCAGTTTAAACCCAGAGTACAGGGCAGTAGGGAGAGTGCTTCCAGCACTGCAGTATCTCAGCCTCGCATCAGACCATCTGCCTTGGAAACCGGCCAAACACACTTCAGTTCCCCGCTGAGCCCTGAGACTGAGCGATCGCTGCAAAGTACCAAAAGGCAGCACAAAATATATAATAAAGTTCTAATATAATATATAATATATATTTTGTTATATAGTATAATAAAATATATATAATAAAGACCTCCAGGGAAGGAATTCTACCTGATCTACACATC